AAAAAAAAAGCACAAAACCACAGAGCAGGTGCTAGTTCCTGCCTTCACCTTTGATGTACTTTGCAAGGGAAAAATAAAACCTTGGCAGCCTTTTTAGAGCTGCAACATGGCTGCACAAGATAGCAATGCAAATATTTGCCGGTTTGGGATACACAAGCCTTCAAAAACTTGGACTTTTTTCAGAAGAGTGGTCAGTTAAATTTCAGTGGTAAAGATAGAGTCAGTTCAAGATCACATCCATGACAGAAGACAAGAAACTAAAACATGTATTTTAAGTATGAGAAGTGAAACCAGGATTAAGATACAAGCAAGACAGCAGGGAAGCAGGAACTTATAAGGGCAGCTGTCTTGAATTAAGTCCATATCTTCAAGAAATACAGGGAAGGGAAAACACCTAATGAGCACACAAAACTCTCAGTTCATAGTTTGAGAGGGCTTTGTTTATGCTGCTGTTTAGGTCTAGTCCTATAACTTCTTGGTTTGGGCTCTATAGCCTAGTTCCACATAAAAAAAAGCCCAGCCTGAAACACAAAATAAATGGTATGATGTCCACAACATAAGAAGCAAATAAGACGAACAAGCAAAAGGAATAGGCAGAGTACATGGCTGGCAACAGGCAGCCTGTGTTTTGGTTGTTTTTCTTTAAAAATCATAATGAACAATTCGTTACTTTAGCTGAAAGATACAATTTCTAGATAGTTGCAGAAAAAGTGATCCAAGTTCCATTCCTGGTAAAAACAAGCACAAATAGGATTTTGACCTTAAGTCAACAGATACAGATATCTGCTCCTTCATTCTCTCATAAAGCAAAGTCTAGAACAAAAAGATTGTTCCTCACCTAAGGACATTCCTCCAGTTACTTAGATTTATAATGAAGAAACAGATCACCAGTTTTTAAACTGAGATTTGAGTATTTAAGAAACTGATGTTCATTTATCCATCCACTGCCAAGGAGGGGTGAATTGCTGCTGACTCAGAGGTGAAACCAGGGGTTCATTGAGTTCAGCCTATGGCACACAGGATAAACTGCACACCTTGAACATTCAGGCAAAGTCTGAATTGAGTCTGTTTTACCTTATCCCGATAATGATCCACAGGACTAGCAAGCTAAAAGGAAGCGACATTATATAAAATATTTCTATTTTTCCCTTCCCTCTCTCTCTATACATTGGCTTTCAGCACTCTTTGTAACAAGTTCCAAGTGAGATGCAAGCAACTAATAAAAACCTACTTACTTGCTAGTGCTCTGTCAAGATCAGCAATGAAGTCCTCCAGCTCTTTTGTGTCCCCAAGCTTTGCTGCAAAACAAGGGTCAACACTGATTAGACAGGACATGTCTCTCTGGCTAGAAGAAACACTAGAAACACACAAGCCTCCAAATAATTTTCAGGGGTAGCAAAGATGTTATAGATCATCATCAGCAAAGTTCAGCAGAGCTGCTGCAATGTCCAAAAGCACTTAGACAACATGGGACACTGAGCTGAAGTTCTAGCTTTCATAGTTTTGTACTTGACAGAAGCAACAGAAAGCAATACTTTATGCAGTCTCCTTAAAAAGAAGAGGCTGCAGTGAAGAATAAAAGATACGTATCAGCTAATCCATGTCTTTGCTACTGTGGCCATCTTCCCTGTTTCATCTCTTCAGATGCTGCATGCATGGCCCTAATCAACCCCTATGAGCTCCAAGCCCTACTCAAATATCACCCTCTAAAATCATGTCAGTATCACAGGTTTGCTGTGCTGCCAGATCCTTTCATCTTGGTACATACACTATAAATGTGGAACTATAAATCCACCAAATTTTCCACTCCTGGCAACACCACTGGTTCCATTCAATCTGGTTTTACTGCAAGTTGCTTCCTTATCTCATGTCTGTGGTCTTTTCCAAGCCAGTTTCAACTCTGTCTTGTCATCAGGAAGAGCATCTTGTCCTTTAGTGTAATTCTTCACCAAATATTTCCTGACAGTTCAGCTGAGCTCTTTTTTTGCTGCTTCGCAGAAACTGTTGCTCATTATTTTTCCCCAGTGTCCCACTAATTGAAAAGAAAGCATTTAACTTGAGGTTTTTTGTGATTGTGGAAGAGATATAAAAGTGGAAGAGATATGAAAGTGTGAAAGGCTATTGAGCATGCACCTGAGTAGAGTGATTGTAACAAAAGCGCCATGTAGTACAAATGTCTGAGTGCTCGCTTATTGACACGTCTGCTCCAGAGTTAATCCAAGTTAACCTGAATGAAGCAGTGTCCTGGGAAATCAGCTGCAAGACAGAAGCCTCTTTCAACAGCATGGCTTCAAAGGAGGAAGGAATTGCTAACACATGGTTTGTATAAGCCCTGTGTAACTTCTATATGGATCTGGGCAATTCTCTTAACTTACATGGCAGCACATGGCTTCAGAGGAGTCCCTCCAGCCCTCCATCCAGGCTAAGCATTTTTATAGAGAAATGGGACACTCAAGCCACTCAAGTTGCATCAGTAAAAAAGTAACACAAGTTAATAATTAATCTTTATCAGCCAAAAAACTACAATATTTTTTAGCTCAGTGTTTCAAAACCAAAAAGGTGGACTTACCAGGCCACCTGCAAAGTGCAGATACAGAAAGCTATAATGCTATTGCCTTTTATAATCAAGACAACAATATTTGGATATGTAGTGTGCTCAACAGTAATCCTTAGTTTTGCTGTCATTAAAAAAAAAAAAAAAAAAAAAAAAAACAAAGAACAAGCCCAAAACCCAACAACAACCCATCAAGAAAAAGAAAGACCAAAATGAAAAAAAAAGTCCATGCAAGCATGTGAATCCTGGCTCCCAGCAAGAAGCCCATATAATTGAGGCGTAGGAAGAAATGCCAACAACTAAAATTAAGATACCTTTACAAGGAGTCACTGAAGGGGATGGCAAGCTTGGAGTAGATGCAGTTGAAGAGTTGAGCTTTTCATCACTGAGACTGAAACTATTTCTGTAGAGGGAATCTGCACCTGTAAAAAATAACATTATAAAGTAAATTTGACACCTTCTGAAGTTTGCAACATAACTGAAACCCAAAATGCAGCCTTTCCTATACAGACTTCAAAGTCGGCAGAACTCAAATTTAAGTCTTCAAAAGCAGAGAAGTGAATAAATAAACCCTTTATTGTGTGAAGGCTACTGCTCCCACTCCTACTGTTAAAGGGAAAGCAGGCCTAGGCTTAATCCTCATCCCCAGTAAGGAAAGTGTCAGCTTCTCCTTCCCCTGAAGTCAGCACCATTTGAAAAATTAAACAGAATTTACAATTATCCCATATCAGCAAAATTATATCTATTAGGACCTGCCTCATTCACAATATTCTGGGAAATTCTCTTACTTAAATTTTTCAAAAGTTACAAAAAAACCCTGAATAGAAAGCTCCAGAATAAGGACAACAAGAATAAAGAATATATTTAGGGTTGCCCTTTATCCCCAAAGCAAGCACACCCCTTTCTCCATACATTACTCTGCTGTTTTAGGTATGGCATTTTTAATTCCTTTATTCTGTGACTCTCTGGAGTTCATGAAGCAGTACACTGGTACACTAGATATTCTGCAACCTTATTTTAGGTGAACTTTCAAAGAAAGCCTTATGTGCCCTGGAAAGGCACAGAAAAGGCCCCCAGTACCATTTTGATGTTCTTGTGTTCTAGAGGAGGCCTTAAGCTTGAAAAGCATCAAAAAGTATCTTTGAGTACAGGGGTAACTCAAATATTAGTCCTGGCTCCACTGGAAGGGGGCTCTGTCATCCCGCTAGAGACTCAAACTGCTGGTCCTGCAGTTTCAAGCCAGGGACCTGAAAACTGTGCTTCTACAAAAGGACACCATGAGATACAAACATGGCCAGGGTCTCCATTTACTTTGCACATTGCCTGGGACATCTATGCTTGTCTTAATATGTGGGAGGGTGACTGTCACTGCTTGCCATGAGGCAGCGATCCTGCTCCCTGCAGCACACACAGCCCCTGTCCCTGGAGCCACAGCACTGCAGCACCAAGCCCGCTGGAGAGAGCCCATCACACTTCCTTGGATGCCTTCACATTTGTCGTGCCAGGAGAGCACTGCTTTAGCTAAGTAAGGGTGTCTGGGGGAATTGGCAAAATTCACAGCAGGCCCACAGCTTGCCTTGCCAAGATCTGCACATCTGCACCTCTACTGAAAATCTGGATGTCTCCAGACAGCAGACACTGAGACCATCCCCTTGCAGACCTGTGCTTCAAGTTCAGCTGTCTCTGGGAAGAACAGAGTGTGTCCCCAGCCACCTCCTCTGGCCTGCTGTCCTGTCCAGCACAAAAGCAGCTTCCACAGGAGCACACAGGCACAGTGACAAGGCAGACCAGACAACTGCACCTACAAAGCCTCTCAGATCTTCCCTCGGCCATTCAAGCTGATTTATTTATTTGTTCTTTGCCACCTTCCAAGCTCACCTCTGTTATAATACACACAAAAAGACTTGGGAGAAAAGCTTCAACCTGGAATACTTCCCTCTTTCCCATGCATTTTGGCCCACAACTGAGCTGTATTTTCAGTTTCCTCTGCCATCATCTCAGATCCTGTTCTGGCAAACACACACGGCCTTCAGCACCACAAAATGTGAGCAATGACATGACTGACATCTCTCACCTGGGGCTATTGCCACCTGCTCAGCCACCACTTGGTAGGTACTTCTTGTTTGTAGACGTGGGAATAGGGTATGATGGCTTCTTCAAACTACCTCCTAATTGCAATTCCTTTATCTCCACTCTTAAGTAGTGCTATTCTCTCTAAACTTCAGCAGATCAAAACCAAGCTATTGGAACCAACTGGATTCCAACCAATTGGAATTTCAAATGCAAGAAAGACTTCACAAATGCAATGTAGAAATGAGATCATTTTAGGTAGAAAAATGGGGGGAAAAGATAAGCCATTTTAAAAGTAGCTCCTAAAAACAGAAAAAAAAATTTTAAAGTAATCTGAGGGTGAAAGAAATTTGGTAGCGCTCTGCAATGATGTTGCCACCAGGGCTGTACTACACCCCACAAACCCTGTACATTAGCTGACACTTTCTCTCTATTAAAGGTATGGCAAATTTCCTCTGAAATCAGTTTACAGAACAACTGCCTACTGAGGCTACATTTTTTCAGCCAAGATGCAAACCCCAGTGACTAAGAAACACAGAATGGAAAATTCTAGCTGTTCAGGACAAAACCCCAAGTAACTTGTAATAGCTGACACAAACAGTGCTCTAGCCAAGACTGTAATTCACTGAAATTCTGACAGAACAGATCAAAGATAAAACACTTTTAGCCTATTGATTTAAAAAGAGGAGAACAAGAATTTCCAAATTAATTCATATTTTAAAGGTTTTACGGCTCATTGAATTAATAAAAAATACAGAGAACTATGGTTATAAATCTGAGTATACTTTTAATGTGAACTCTGATTGCAACATCCAGACACCAAATGTAGCAAGGCTGGGTTGACATCAGAAAATCTAATTTCATACTGGCTTCCACAAACAATATGCTGGGAAATATTTACAACTGGACAAAGATAAAATATGACAAAACTGTTGCTTTAAATCTCTGAATGTTTTTCTCCCAGTTTCAAAAGGTGAAATGTTTTCACTTAACAATGTTATCTTCTGATGGGTCGTAATAGTTTCAGGGAAATATCAACATTTATCTTTCTCAAAGCAAAAATATACTTTAGCTACTGACTGTGGCTTTTTCATGCCACCAAGCATCAGAAATTCTAGTGATGTAAGGAGGAATGCACTGACTCCACCAGCAAGGTCACCATAACTGCTGAAAACAATGTAAAAATACTTATGACAAGCAGCACAGAAAAATATCCTCTTTGGCAAAGGGTGGCTGTAGGGCAGAAAGCTCTGGGAAAAGGACACTTCAGTCCTTGCTCTCTACCAGCTGCCAAAGCCAAGATTTGCTCATTCACCTCCAATAATGGCCCTTGGAAGAGTTCCACTGCCAGACAAATACAACATCCTCTGCAACCCAATAAGCAGGGGCTGATGCCAGGGATCTCATTGCTGCTGTCCTTCCTCACCCAGCTCCCTCTCTCCCACCACAAGTTTGTTATTCATTACCTGTTTTCTACTTTGTACACTGATTCTAGTCCCTGTGCTTTTAAACATAAGCCTTTAAATCTGAGAGTTTTGTCAGTGAGTCAATTTGCATCAGTCAGGCTACCCTGCAAAATTAGGGGGTAGGAATAAATACGGGTGGATTTTACTTTGGCAAAGTAATCTGTAGTTAGTATAACTCTACTGCTCCAGTGTATGGTTAAACCACAAAATAAGCCATGGCAACACCATGTAAATATAGAAATGGCCCCATGAAATGAGCAATTGAAAGGCTCTCGGCAGTAATGGACTGAAGGAGGAAAACCTCAAACTTCTCATTTCAAAACAGACAATGGAAAAATTCAGCTGCGTAGCTTCTTTAGTATCATGCTCTTTCTAGTACCATGGCTCAACTTTGAGGAGCACTTGAGTTGGTAACTTTTACTGCAGTTTTCAGTGGGGAGAGTTGTAGGGGAAAAAGTTAAAGCACATCCATAAAGCTTTCAGAGAAAAGCTTCACAAGTCCACTCAAGTGTCTACAAATCATGAATTCATTATGAAACAGTAACTCAGCACTTAATGAGCAGACTGCAAAAATAATTCCTAACAGAACATAGCCTACTTGCTAAAAAATCAGAAAAAAATCTGGAAATTGTAATGTCACCAGCAGAAGTGAGAAATATTCATAATACAAAAAGCCTGTTTCAAAATGTGTATGTTTCAGCCCCCAAGGACAGTGTTTATTTTTATCGTCATCACAGTTACACTTGGCTGCATTGTTTATTTTTGTGGGGATTTTGCCTAGCTAACAAACATCTGTTCCAATACTGACTAAAAAATGACACCTTTTCTCTATTGACACATCTCAGCATCATTATTTAAAGGATTTTAAATCACATAGCTACACAAAAGTAATCACATAGCTACACAAAAGGGATCTAGGAAGCCTGAAATCCAGATGCACAGGCATGTTTTCTCATTATATACAAAGCTTACCTTCCCACTTCCCTCCATGCTTACCAGCTATGAGGCAGTTCCCAACTCCAGCCCTCCCTTTTACTTGTCTTCCTTTCTAATGAATAAGAGTAGTGGGTATGCTGAAGTGACAAGAACAGGAAATCTCATGAAAATTTCATTTCTCAGCACACTTTAAAGAAGGCTATGCACCTGAAACTTCCAATTTTTCTTCCCTTTGAGCATATCAGTAATGTAATAAAAGTTTATTTCTCAGATCATTTAATAAAAGGGACTTTCTGCAGAAGAGAAAGTGTTCACTTTTTTCATTAGAAGCATTTTATTGTCCTCACCTTTATGTTTGAGACAAGCCATAGGAAGTTCACAGACACAATCTACCTCCTTTTCATGTTACAAGACTGGCATTTGCTGCAGAGACCAAAGGCTCACCTACTTCACATCCTGTTTCTCACAGCAGATGCCTGCAGAGGAGCTCCAGAGGTGCAGCCACACACAGTGAGCTGCAGGATGAGCTCTCCCAAGTTCTCCCATTGCAGGTACCACTCTCTTTCCTGAGACACCAGGGGCATCAGCCCCAGCAGTCCCCAATGGCCCCATCCCTCCTGCTGGGATTTTATCACGTTGGTTTTGAGTATGAGAACTTTTAGTATCAATAATACCTTAAGGCAATATCTTTAACTGTTCATGAAAGAAATAACACCTCATTTCTTTGAAGCGTGCTGATTTAATTTGACTTCCTCATACTGGTGAGGTAGCAGTCACTTTTCTAGTGTCTCTTAGGATTCTCTAGAAGACTGTCTTGTCCCTCCCCAAAACATCTCTTTTTTGCCAGACAGTCCCAGAGTATTTATTTGGAAAATATTTTACATCCTTAATTATTTCTGTTGCCTTTTTCTTTGCCTTTTTTATGGTCACATATTACAAGACTGACAACG